ATTTAAGAAATTGAGTGTTATTCTATTAAATATGTATAAACTTTTGGGTGTTTAATATATAAGTATAAAAGTTTTAAGTTTTATGTGTTAAAAACTTTCATTTAGTTTACTCTCATTCGACGTGATTCCTGCTCAAAGGCTTAAAACCGGCCTTGTGAAGAAGAAGAGTTGAGGAAGTACTAACGGGATCAGTATCATTTGCTGGAGGGTTTCGATGAGACCGATGGCGTGTGAAACTTGATGAGTTAACCATGGTCTTTTTTGGCTTTATTTATGGGAATGAGTGTTATATATATATATATATATATATTATGTATTATATTAATCTAAAAAAATAAAATTTTAAAAAAGAATATTAGTGATACTTACGAACAAAAGATTCATTATAGGTGGCTACTCCTACTTCACAATAAGACCCAATTGATGCAAGGCAAATGAGCATTGCAAAGAGAAGAACTGCGCACTTCTTCATGGATGAAAATAAAGACTCTCTAATATTTTTTTGCTTGTGTTTGGTGTGCTGTCTATAAGAGAGTTGAATTCCTTTTATAGAAGAAAATAATCAAAATTTTGATGTGATATCCATTTGGACTAAATCAAATAAAATTTTGGTGTGTTATCTATAAGAGTTGGGTCCAGTTAAAATGAATTTGACTCGGCTCAAAATAAAATATATATATATATATATATATATAGTGAATTGATATTCAATCCTAGCGGGCATGAACTTGATGGACACTTTTTAGACTTTTTCTTAGACGAAGTGGCAGCCAATTTCGATATATTTGATTCGCTCGTGAAAAAAATGGTTAGTCGCAATATGTATAACAGATTGATTATTATAAAGTAGTGGTGTATGAGAAAGAAGACGTCTCAAAATCTTGTACTAATTGAATGAGCCATATTAGTTTCTTGATCATCATTGCTGGTGCTCGATATTCAACTCCATCAGAGGATTGAGATATGATGGTTCGTTTCTTTGCCTTCTATGAAATCAATGAGCCACTTAGGAAAATATAATAATTTATAACAAATCTTCTTATATGATACATTATTCACATAATTAAGCTAAAATTTGATAATCATGCATCATTTGAGACGACTATTTTATTGCTTTTTAGAATAGCTTTTTAGTACAAAATTTTTTTACAAAAATATCTTGAATTAAAATTTTTTGTACTAAAAAGCTTCTTTATAAAGCTATAAAAAAGCTATCCCAAACTAAGTCTTAAAGTTCATAATACTATTCTATAAGCTATGTGAGAAATTAATTTTAGTCTCACATTGACAACATAAAACTATGGTAGGGCAAAATACTAACTAAGGTCCCTCTTTTATAAATTTAAATTTAAATTTTCTATGTTAAAAATATTTTAATACTAATTTATAGGTCCAACTTTAGACCATACAAATTATTTTTTTATTATCATTACAGTACAAAAGGGATTTAAAGGGATAGGGATAAGGCCAAGTCCATATGATCTCTCTTGACCTGTCTTCATTTATAGTAAAATGATAAGAAGCAAGACATATTTAACAATTGCCAACTAAGGATGATTATGAAAGGCCAATTTTTTGTCTATCTCACTTGTTCTCAACGTGAAATTATTACGTGTGGCCACCGGATGCTGTCCAGAGACCAATCAGAACAAGCCACGTCACTGATTTCTTATGGAACACTATATATCAGATGATGTGACATATCCTAATTGGCTTATAGATGGTCTAGTGCCGCACGCAATAATTTCTCATTCTCAACAACCAAAATTTCTATTTATATTTATTAAAGAGTTGTTCTCTAATATAAAATTTATTTGGAAGTTTGATATTAAACATGCAAATTAAAAATATATATGTGTGCAGCTCATTTCAGGTTCGGATCAACGTACAACTTATTTTCTACTCATAAATTTAGTTGTCTTATGTTTTAGTCATGTTTTAGTGTAGAGTGGCTTTTGGGCAACCTTTTGGAGAATATCCTAACCAATTCAGCTTCTTTCTTATTTCTTATAGGTTACATTATATTGGTATCAGAGTGATGATGGATGTTGGAAAATAGTCGGTTGGTGAGATGTTTGTCATTGGGTGGCTAGATGTGAGATTGTTGCATTGTGTTGCTCTAGTAGAGGTTGTAGGTGTTATGGCTGATTTTTATCATTTTGGTGGAGGTGCGATGAGAACTTCGTGAGTTAAAAAATGGTGTTGATCATCCTTTGACAATCATTGTTGCGAGCGAGAATATATGCGACAGTAGCGAAAGACAATAAAACGTCTTAGCAATGTACGTATATCCGGCACACTAAAAGATAGTTGAAAGAGAGAAAAATACCATAAGCTTTAACATAGAAAACCAGGAAAGGGAAAATCACGGGGTATGGCCTAGTTGAGAAAGTTCCACTACATTGAATGAATTACAAAGCTTGATTCGCTCCTTTACTTGGAGACGGTGAAATTATAATGGATTGGAGAATCAGACAGAAGTATGGTGATGATCGACGAACAAAAATTCGACAGTGTTTGGGAAGAACTTTGGAGGTACTCGATGAAAGAGCAGAAGTACAATGGTGGTCGATGAATAAGAGGAAGTCCGACGGTGATTGATGAACAAACAAAAGTTCGATAGTGGTCGGAAAGAACTCCGACGGTGTTCGACGAACATGCGGAAGTCCGGCGTTGATCCACAAACAGGTGGAAGTCTGACAATGGTCGATGAACAAACGGAAGTCCTACGGTGGTCGACGAACAGGCAAAAGTTTGCGGTGGTCGATGAACAAATGAAAGTCCGCCAGTGGTCGGAAAGAACTCTGATGGTGGTCGAAGAATGGTGAAAGTCTGGCGATGGTCGACGAACAGGCAAAAGTTCAGCGGCGGTCGACGAATGAATGGAATTTTGACGGTGGTCGACGAACAGGCGAAACTCTGGCGGTTGTCGACGAACGAACGAAAGTCTGGCTATGGTCGGGAAGAACTCCGGTGATGGTTGACGAGTGGGCGGAAGTTCTGCGGTGGTTGGAAAAAACTCCAGTGGTGGTTGGTGGCAAGAGAGCTCCCCAAATTTTCTCCTTCTTTCCTCCCCTCATGTGAAGAATGGGGGCCTCTTTATAATTCTTTAAGTGGAAAACCCCATAAATATAGAGAAGATTGAGAGCATGTTGGGAGTGTTTCAATGGACAGCTCATATTGATCACATTAACTGTGGAGCATTTATCAAGCATTTGAGTATCCCAAATGATGTCAAAATTAGGCAATCTTAAGCTCGTTGGATTCATCTTGTCGAGCAGCTTTATCCGGCTATTAGCATACCATATTCGACGATAATTTAGTTATTCAATTAATGCTTTGAACCCTCCAAATATGCTTTGGAACTTTTATTTGGGCTCGAATTACACTGATTTTGGTGTCGTTGGGTTCGTCTCCTTGAGATGTTCAATTTGACTATAAATTTACTAAAATTGGATATTAGATGGCCCCGATTTTAATTTTTGGAGCCTCAATCTCATATTTACATCGAGATTCATGTCGATCAAGATGATTTTTTGGTAACATATCAATACTGTTGGGATTAAATATTATATTAGCGAGATGTGATGCAACACAAGCAAATTAGAAAATGTAACATGTGTAACAACTATATCAAAGTATAAGACATGACAACTATGATTTTAGTGATGATCAATATCAAGATAGGTGCCATCATCGACATACACAAAAAATTTTTACTTTGATTCGATTAGTGACTTATCACAATGAGGTCGAGCCCTTCAAGCTCGAACACCCAATGCCACTTCCATGGAAAAACTAAAGGTTGTACTGAAACCTGAGCTTTTTTGACAATTTTTTTCACAAGTCAAGAAAATTCGAGTGTTTTCATTGCTTTCAAATTGGATACTATTATAATGAATGCCCGAATATGATGCAACTATAATTATTTGGTAAGTGTTGAATGACATGATATATTAAGAAGAGACTATTGAAAATGAACTTTTTTATTTGTTTATCATAAATGTATGTAATCAACCATTTTGCAATATATAACTAGATGTGCCATGTTCATTTAATTACGTGCTTTAATTTACTATTTTAATTAACCATTTTGCATATACATATTTCTTATTGTGTAAGTTAAAATCAGCTCAGATTGCACTGTTACTGATGGGAGACTGATTCAATTCACTGCATTAGTTGGCCTTTAATACTCCTCAATATGGACTATAAAGTCCTTGACTTCCATCTTGGATAATAAAGCTGGTAGAGGGCCTTGAGGCAATGCTTTGGCGAACATGCCAGTGAACCAATATTTTGTCCTAGGGGCATGAATTTGATGGAGCCTTCATTTTTTTTTACGAAGTGGCTGTCAATTTTGATATGTTCGATTCGCTCATGAAAAGAATAACCAGTTATAATGTGTATAACAACTTGATTATCACAAAATAGTAGTGTCGGGGAAAGAAGATATGCCTCATAATCCTATAATAATTGAATGAGCCACATTAGTTGCCTGTCACTAATTGCCAGTGCACGATTTTTGATTCCAACGAAGGATTTAAAGAGATAGAGGTCATAGTACATATGTTCTCTCTTAGACTTTAATTGGGATAACTTTCTTATTACTTTTTAAAACAATTTTTTAATATAATTTTTTTTATTTTATATAATAAAATTATTTTAAGAAGCAATAAGAAAAATTATTTTAAGAAGCAATAAGACAAATTAACAATTGCCAATTAAGGGTGGTCATGAAAGGACAATTTTTCTTATGTCCTCACAAGCTATTCATGAATAAATAATTTTTTTATAGCCCTTAAATATTAATAAAAATAAAGATATGTTGTGATTGCTAATTTTTAAAAATTGAATATTATAGTTTAATATTTAAACCAATTTTAAAATTAATATTAAAAATTAATAGAATTATATAATATTTTTAAATAATAATATTGCATTTTTTACAATATAAATAGCTGATGATCCACCGGTCCGGTCCGGTTCGACTATTTTAATCTCGCGGTTTGAAAATTTCAAGCCACGCTCGGCTCGCGATGTTTTATCTCCAATCAACTCATACCTCCTCCGCCCTCTCCGGTACTCTTTCCGGCGTTTGTCCGCCCTCACTCCGTCGATCAATTGAGCTCGAGAGCTACGGTATGATATCAGAATATTTACCTAATTTATGATTTGTACTGTAACTTTAGTTTTATCTTTCGATTTTTCTCCGTTCAGCTGTCTCTGGCTCTAATTTTTTTTCAGGGAAAAATGAGATGCGGTGATTTTTTTTTTGGTCTAAGAATGAATGCTGGTGTCTCTTCCTTCAAGCTGCTTTGGTTTTTTTACTGAAATGAAATTATCTCTGTTGTTAATGGCTTACTCGGCTGAAATTATATCCCTTTGCTCTTGCACCTTCATGTGTTGCTTTATCAATGTTAAGACCAGCTAGTCTGGTGGAAGCATAGATTAGGCCATCTGTCAATCTCAATTCTCGAATATTTCATTCCATTACAGTATAGATTTATCATCCCTATTGTCATCAACTCTCTGTTGTACTGCTTATAATTATAATAAAAGTCACAAACTTTCATGTTCTACCTCCACTATTTTAACTTATTAGCCTCTTGAAATACAGTTCTTAATTGCGTGGAAATCACCCGCACAACCCTATAATTTCTTCAACTAATATGTCACTTTTGTCAATCACTATACAAAGTATATCTGATAGCAAGCTGCTGGATCGGACAAGACCTGGAAGGAATCGTAAGCAAAGAAATGATAGAAGAAACTACAGGGCAGTGTAGTTTCGGTACTGGTATATTGGATAATAAGCAAGAACTGTGTACATCTTTTAGTTTCAGCTATATGTAACCTTTCTCTATTTCCCAATACTAAAATTAGTTAAGCAACTAAAAAGAAAACGGTAGTGCTGTAAGCAGAAATAGAAAACTAGATAGGGATAACTGTCAGAGTTTGTTATGCCGGTAAGATGTTCCGCAGGAGCCGGTACTAATGGGAGCTGCATCAGTCCTCCCCGGGTTCAGAAGAGCTCGACTCCGACGAGCTGACTGATATGATGCCGTCGTCTGGTGGTTTATACGCCCAAATGTCGGAGACATTAAAAGTCGGGGAAGTATTGCAGTCAGCAGGTAACGCTACAGTATATGCGTTATCGTTGATTTTGGCTAAGATAGGAACAGGTCCTATCTTGCGGCGGGAAAGCTTGGAGTAAGTCCCCACTGGGAAGCGTTCTCGCCTTAGACGAACCATCACCAAATCTCCGACATTGAACAAACTTTTCCTTCGGTGAGCATCAACTGCATCCTTATAACGCTGATTGGAGCTAAGGATTTGCTGACGGACATTATCCAACATCTCTTTGTAAGTATCAGCAAAGGTGGCAGCAGATGACGACTTGCACTTCGGTAGGACGGCGATGTCGAGAGCAAGATTAGGTGACTTAGTATAAACAATACTAAAAGGAGTTTTACCTGTGGATCGGTTCGTCATGGAGTTATAAGCGAATTCGGCCTTACTCAGTACGTCCTCCCATTGCCGCGGATTCTCCTGGACTAAACAACGTAGCATGCTACCCAAAGTCCGGTTGACGACCTCCGTCTGTCCGTCAGATTGTGGATGGTATGCGGAGCTGAGTCGTAGTTCGGTGCCCAACCTCTTCCAAAGCTCTCGCCAAAAGTGGCTTATAAATTTGACATCGCGATCGGATGTGAGGCTCCTCGGAAGCCCATGCAAACGAACAACTTCATCAAAGAAAAGGTGAGCAATGCTTAAGGCATTAGAAGTTTTCTTACAAGAGACAAAGTGCGCCATTTTGGAGAATCTGTCGACGACCACCATGATAGAATCATTCCCTCGCTTGGTTCGCGGCAGCCCCAAAACGAAATCTAAGCTGAGGTCCTCCCAAATTGAATCTGGGACCGGAAGCGGCATGTATATGCCTGTATTTTGGGCTCCCCCTTTATAATTTTGACAGACTGGGCAGCTTTCTACGAGACGAAATACATCTCGTCGCAGTCGTGGCCAGAAAAACCGAGCTTGAAGTTGGCGAAGGGTATTGTCCCGCCCTACGTGTGCTGCAAGTGCTCCAGCATGTGTTTCCCTCACCAATTGCTGGCGCCACGATGATACAGGAATGCAAAGAAGGTTTCGTTTGAAAAGGTAGCCATGGCGAATGGAATAATCTTCCACCTGCTGTTGTACTTCGCATTGCTTCCAAATTTCACCAAAATCTGGATCTTCCGCATATAAGTCCCTTAAGCACTCCAAGCCTGTAATTTGAGTCTGTAATTGTACTAACAGAAGACGCTTCCGGCTTAGAGCGTCGGCGACTCGATTGGCAACGCCGGGTTTGTGCTTAATGGTGAAAGTGAATCTTTGTAAGAACATCAGCCACCTCGCATGCATACGGTTAACTGTCTTTTGACTATTGATGTAGGAGAGGGCCTTATTATCGCTGCAAAGTATAAACTCCTGGTGGAGGAGATATTGTTCCCACTGCTTCAATGCCCGAATAATAGCATATAGTTCTTGCTCATAAGCCGTCCATTTTTGACGAGACGGACACAATTTCTCACTAAAAAAAGCTACAGGCTTATCCGATTGTGAGAGGACAGCGCCTACTCCTGTGGACGACGCATCCGTATCAACAGTAAACAATTTTTCGAAGCTGGGTAAAGCTAGGACCGGAGCTGAGCAGAGAGCTCTTTTAATTTCATCAAAACTGTTTTGTTGTTCCTCCGTCCACATAAAAATCTTAGATTTGAGACAATCCGTCACAGGCGCCATAATAATACTAAAATTTTTAATGAACTTACGATAGAAGTTCGCCAGGCCGTGGAAACTCCGCACCTCAGTGAATGTTTGTGGAGTAGGCCAATCTGTGATGGCTGCTATCTTCACTGGATCCATTTTAATGCCTTCTTCAGAAACAATGAAGCCAAGAAATGATACGGTGGAAACTCCAAGCTCACACTTAGATAAATTAAGAAATAATTTTTGCTGTTTTAGAACATTAAACAGAGTTGTCAAATGATCCAAATGAAGTTGCCATGAGGTGCTGAAGACTAGTATGTCGTCAAAATAAACAATACAGAACTTCCCGAGGAACGGCTTCAATACTTCATTCATCATCCTCATGAAAGTGGAGGGGGCATTGCAAAGCCCAAACGGCATGACCTTCCATTCATACAGGCCTTGAGGTGTCTTAAAGGCGGTCTTCCACTCTTCCCCGGGACGAATGCGGATCTGGTGGTAGCCACTGCGTAAGTCTAACTTTGAGAAAATGGAAGATCCCGATAAGTGGTCAAGTAACTCTTCAATGCGAGGCACCGGAAATCTATACTTCACGGTGATCTTGTTAATGGCCCGACTGTCTACACACATCCGCCAGTTTCCATCTTTCTTCGGAACTAACAATGCCGGGACCGCGCAGGGACTCATGCTTACTTGTATAAATTGCTTCTCTAGCAGATTGTCGACCAAGTCCTGAAGGATTCGCTGCTCCTTCGGGTTAAGTCTATAATGTGGCAAGTTGGGAAGGCTCGCACCCGGAATAAGATCTATGTGATGTTGGATGTCACGGAGAGGAGGAAGTTCCGCTGGTAGGTCTCCTGGTGTAAGCTCCGGAAATTGCTGTAGCAGGCGTTGGAGATCACAATGCAGGGTCTCTGGATTTGAGCAGGGGTTCGGCTCTGCCAGTAATAGAGCAAACAATGGGGCGGGCTCACGCCAGCAATGAAGCAATGTAGATCCAGAGACTATGTGCAAGGCCGGCTGTTTCGTTGTCCCCGACTGTAAGGACTTGTTGTCCGGGGAGTTGGGCAATAGTCTAAGACGGCGACCCTTCCAATCGAAGGAGTAGACGTTGGCCCGACAATCATAGACAGCACCGGAATCAAACTGCCACGGTCTTCCCAATATGAGGTGGCAAACATCCATCTCCAAGATGTCGCACACAACCTCGCACACATATTGCTTTCCAATGGAAAAAGTGACTCTGCATGAGTCAGTAACACCAATCTCAATACCTTTTTTGACCCATGTGATTTTGTACGGACTAGGATTTTTGAAAGTTTTCAATTGCAAACTTTGAATCACTGAGCGAGAGATCACATTTTCGGTACATCCACTGTCTATTAAGAGGTCGCACACTTTGCCGTTGATGGTGCACCTGGTCCGAAAAAGAGCATGGCGCTGTGAATGTACACTGTGTTTGGGAGCTAATAATAATTTCTCTAGAATGCACATCAGAGGCTCTCCGTCATCAGCTATCAGATCATCCACTTCGGCTTCCCCGTCATTTTCTGCATCCACTGGTTCACTTTCTTCTTCTCCTTCCGCATAGTGCGCTTGAGGTCTTTGGGGACATTCGTTTGATTTGTGACCGGGCTGGAAGCAACGAAAGCACTTGAGCGTAGAAGGTCTAGCATATTGATTTTCCCTACTTTGTTGCTTTGGTTTGGCCGGCTGTTTTTGATCCAAACTGGAGCTGGCTGGAGTAGTGGAGGGATTAGTCACGGGTTGAGGAGTCTTCCCAGATTGGGATGAAGCTTTGCTGTACCCAGGTGTTGATTCAGCCCACTGCCTACGGGTGAATGGCGCCTTCCCTTGCCTGGATTGTTGCATCTCGGCCTTCAAGGCAAAATTGACGGCTTGTGACAAAGACCATACTGAATTCAATTCCAACTTGTCTTGAATGCTCTCCTTCAGTCCGCCGATATAGCGAGCCACTAATTGATTTGCCGATTCATTTAAATTGTTTCTGGCGCTCAGCCGATTGAATTCCTCGGTATACTCGCTCACCGTGCGTGATCCTTGCACACAGTGCTGATACCGCATGTATAAAATCTGCTCAAAATCCGTAGGCAAAAATTGAGCCCTCAATAATTGCTTCATTCGATTCCAGTTCCGCACTCGCCCTCTTCCTTCTCTCTGCCTAGTTTGTAAAACCTGAGACCACCAAGCACTGGCACCTCCCCGCAAACGACAAGCCACATATTTCACTTGCTTGTCGGGTTCGATTTCCATATAATCGAAAAAATTTTCCACAGCCTTTTCCCAGTCGAGATAATCTTCGATGTGTAGGTGACCGTCAAAAAAAGGGATGTCAAGCTTCACCTTAAATTCTCCTTGGCGTTGTTGGTAATGAGTAGGGCGGCGGTACCTCAGATGTTCCAAGTGGTGTGGCCTTCCTCCATCTTCATCTCCTGAATCAAATACTTCTGCTCCTGGATATATTGGCGACTCCTCCTCCGAATCTGAAGTCTCCTGTGTAGCTCCTGCATCTCTGCGGGCTTGCCTGCCAATTACCACTCCTCTTCGCTGCACTGTGCGATTGGTTGGAACTTCATTCCGCTGCGGTTGTTGTCTTGCCCGTATGAGATTGAACTCGCGGCGCATTTCAATGGACAGCCTCTGTATCTCGGCGGCCAAATCGTCCAGCTGACGGACGATATTGGATTGGTTTGCCCACAACGTCTCTAAACTCCGGGCCTCCTCGGTTGCCGGTTCTTTACCACGATCGGTCATCCTCTTCCTTCCGGTAGCTGGCTCTGATACCAGATGATAGCAAGCTGCTGGATCGGACAAGACCTGGAAGGAATCGTAAGCAAAGAAATGATAGAAGAAACTACAGGGCAGTGTAGTTTCGGTACTGGTATATTGGATAATAAGCAAGAACTGTGTACATCTTTTAGTTTCAGCTATATGTAACCTTTCTCTATTTCCCAATACTAAAATTAGTTAAGCAACTAAAAAGAAAACGGTAGTGCTGTAAGCAGAAATAGAAAACTAGATAGGGATAACTGTCAGAGTTTGTTATGCCGGTAAGATGTTCCGCAGGAGCCGGTACTAATGGGAGCTGCATCAATATCTTGGACTATCCATTGAATAAAAATTTTCTTGTTTATGATATCTTCATCATCTTCAAGGCCTTAGTGAAAAAAATGCTTTGATTGTAAAATTATCATCATATACTGTGACAATGGTGGCAAGTATCAAGCTTTAGGCATGTTCCTATCTACCAATAGCATCTATCATCTTACTAGTCCACCGCAGACACCTCAAAGAATGGATACTCCTAAAGAGGCCATGGACAAATTATCAAAATTGGTCTCTTTCTCTTATCTTATGTCTCCATTCCACATTCCTATTGTATTGATGGTTTTGCCTTAGCAATTCCCACACCCCCTTTTGTAATGCCATTCATGTGACACATTTATCGTCTAAGGATTAAATAGTAGATGATCTCATCAAATCACTTTCGTGCACTCGCTTATCTACATCAAGCTTCAAGATTAGACACGCCGTCCAAAGTTCCATCTTGAGGAGTATCCAAAGGAAAAGATCTAAGAAGCATATTAGTGGAATAATTAATTACCATCATTATGCAATTATTGTAACTTTTCTGCTTTCTATTGGAAATTTCCACCTACATTTGAAATTGGAAAATATCTCTTTAATAGTCTTGTATATCTCTATATATTCTCAACAACTCGATGAGAAATGTAAGTCATTCTTTGAACATTTTCCATCTTGAGTTTTATATGTTGATTGCTTAGTTGTTTGATGTTATTAGGCTGCATTTAGGGACAATACGAGCCCTGCCAGTAGTAATGAAAAAACATCCTGATGTCTGCTTCAGCATTTTTTTCTGTCCTTTATATTATATTGGCATAGTCTTTGTTCTGAGAAATACTGCGTCTTTTTTCCTCTGAGGTTGACTCTTTAGTTTTGCATGAAATATGCCATTTTCTTGTAATTGATGCAAATTTTCATCCAAACTGGACACTCTCCATGATATACCATCTGGAAGCTTGATGACTAATTGCATTTATGAGTATTATATGCTACTCTCTGTGAAATATATTTCTTCATTAATGATATGATATATATTTTTCAAAATAGTTTATGCTGTGCCATGCACCAACCACCATGGCCCAAGGGTACCATTGTTCCATAGTGCATTGTTCACCATAAGTAACAATATCCGCACCACCTCTACTCGGCCAAAGCGGAAGTCCAATGGAGGAGGGTCCACAATAGAGGTAGACGAGCTTGTGCGGGTGCTATTGCGAAAGGTTGGTGATGAGAAGTTCCCTTTGGTGACCACACTCAACAAGTATGTAAGGACTGTGAGAACAGAGCATTGCTTCCTTCTCTTCGAGGAGCTGGGGAGGCAAGACAAGTGGCTGCAGTGTCTTGAGGTTAGCACATTCCTGTGAATCTATGAAAAAATTGCTTGATCTCTGTAGATCCTTATTGTGATGCCTTGGCTTGTATATTTTGATAGTTTTCAAGCATTTGGTTGTTTGGTCTGATTGAGTTCAGATTGAGAAATTGAAAATATAACATACTATACATTAATTCATAACTGGGGATCCATAGCTTATAATTGACTATTATTTATTGATGAATGAACACAAATTATTCTTTTAAGGAATGAACTCAAATTATTTTGTGGGCCCAATTCAGTGTTAGTCTCTATTGATTTTCAGTGAACAAAACTTTTTCCCCCTCTATGGTGTATTCTTAATGATCATGGAACAGTGTGTCGGCTCTGCGAGTCCTATTTGCGATACTTCCATTATCAACACCTCCACCTTTATGGCTTATAATTGCTTATTATATTGTGAGTCCAATTGATTGCCTTTTGATCTTAGTTAGGCTCTAAGAGTTTTCTCGTTTACCCTCTTTCACTTCTTTTTAATTATTATGAAAAAATGCCCAGCTGAATTGTTTGTTCTGATGAAGCTTAGATAGAGAAATTGGAAGGACTATATATGATATTTTTCTTCCCTCCGCATGTATTGAACACTCTTTACATTTCTGTCATGTGAATGTAACTGGTCTCAGAAGAGCTCATCTAATGTTGCCTTTTATGTTTGTACTTTGAAGTAACGCCTAGAATATATAGATTGTTTTCTGGGGTTGCTATGGTATTTTCTTTTCATTTCGAGAAATTTTCATGTATTTATGGCGTTTTAGCTGTTTTCTTTTTTTTTTACATTATTTTTTTGCTGATGTCAACTTCCATGAAGCAATGAAAATTTATAATTGCTTACACAGTACTGCAGTTTTTCACTATTTTTCATTGATTGACAAGTGGTTCTCATTGAACAAATGAAGATTTTTATGTGCTGAAATGCATATAATAGTGCGTGGATAGTAAAAGACCTTAAATATGGAATTGATCTTTTTAAAGATAAAATGAGATCTTATTAAAGAAAAAATGTGGCTGTATTGAAGTTATAATTGTGGGAATCTTGTGTGTAACATATAAATAATATGTGATGGAACAAATTTATGCTAATGGTTTAGACAGAGTTATCTATGGGTTTCAGAGCAAATAATATGTTGCTGAAGATTGTTAGAGCACATAACAATGCTCTGCAAGTATACCAAACTTATCCTACTCATATATTCTTGTTTAGGCCTCTAATTTTCATAAATATCCTCCTCATATCTCCTGCAGATTACATCATTATGGTACCCTTGTAATCCATGTAGTCCTGAAGCTTCATGGAATTCATGCTCAATGTTTTTGAGAGAAGATCAAGAATCCCTACTTTGTTCAGAACCATCTTTGATCTCATTTGATTGCTTGTAGATGAAAAATATGGTTTTGAAATGCAAAAACTATTTTTTTGCAAAATTTGAGTTTGAAAATAAAATCCTTTATTCTAAGAAATTTTGAAGGTGTTTGTGGAGTCGACAATGCATATTGATTATTAATTTCATGAAAAAAAAAACAGAATATAAAATATTCAACTTTTTCAACTTTTTTACAACAAAATGATCCCTTACAAACCTTTTGAAATTATTACAATATTAATGTTCAATCAAATATTTCAATCCATTTTCAAAACAAGCTCTTTGCGCTGTTCTCAGAAGTATCAAACTAGTTAATGCTTGCATATTTGTAATTCCTATTGTTAACATTATACATAATAATCCTAGTCATTTGAGTTTTCTTTTCTCTAAAATATAATCTTTAGCCTTTGCAAAGCTTTTGAATTATGATTTTTTTTTTTTCAATCAAATGTTCCAAGTTCATTTTCAAAACATGCTCTTTGTCCCATCTAAAATTTCTGAAATGTATCTAACTTGTTAATACTTCTTGCTTATCATTCCTAATATAAACATTATATATGTGAAAAGCTTATTTTTCAGTCTATACTCTGTAAACAAAACTTCTTTTCAGGTGTTCAGATGGATGCAAAAGCAAAGATGGTACATTGCAGACAATGGCATCTACTCAAAACTAATATCAGTTATGGGCAAGAAAGGCCAAACAAGAATGGCTATGTGGCTTTTCTCCGAAATGCGAAACAGTGGATGCAAACCAGACACTTCAGTCTACAATTCATTGATTACTGCTCATCTCCATTCTCGTGACAAATCAAAAGCTTTAAGCAAAGCCTATGGCTATTTTGAGAAGATGAAAGGCTTGAATGAGAGATGCCAACCAAACATAGTAACATACAACATCCTTCTAAGAGCTTTTGCTCAAGCTGGAGATCTGAAGCAAGTAGATACTATCTTTAAAGATCTTGATTCAAGCTTCATATCACCCGACATATATACTTACAATGGCATCATGGACGCGTACGGCAAGAACGGAATGCTACGAGAAATGGAAACGATTCTTCTTCGAATGAAGAGCAATCAATGCAAACCCGACACAATAACATACAATCTTCTCATTGATTCATATGGAAGGAAACAAGCATTTGCGAAGATGGAGCAAGTATTTAAGAGTTTGTTGCGCTCGAAGGCGAAACCGACTCTCCCGACTTTCAATTCTATGATATCGAATTACGGGAAAGCGAGGCTCAAGGACAAGGCTGAATCTGTTTTCAGAAAGATGAATGATTTAGGCTTCAAACCAAGTTATGTCACTTATGAATGTTTGATAACAACATATGGTTACTGTGATTGTGTTTCCAGTGCTAGAGAAATATTTGATGATGTTATGGGAAATCAGAAGCATTTGCAGGTTTCTACTCTGAATGCAATGCTTGATGTGTATTGCATGAATGGTTTGCCTTTTGAAGCAGATAAGCTTTTAGAAGTTGCTGATAGGAAAGGCTTTGTTCCTAATGTTTCAACTTATAAGCTGCTTTACAAGGCATACACTAAAGCTAACATAGAGGAACTGGTTCATAAACTGCTCAAGAGAATGGATCAAAAGGGTATTGTTCCTAACAAGAAGTTTTTTTTGGGGGCTGTGGAAGCTTTGGGTTCAGTTCAGATGAGTTCTTAGGGTTTGCATTGTATATTCAGAAAACTTTTTTTTTTTTTGGCCATTAGATTTTGAGAATTTGGCTCTTTTTAATCTTCATTGTTGTAATTTTATACATAAGTTAGCCTATTTTTAGTAGGTTTTTATTTGTTTTTCTCAAGTGGATTTAGGGGTGTCAATAAATGGAACTTTTATTTGGTCCGGTGACCGGACGTAGAGCTACGTTCGGCGAGTGCTAAGAACGCGCCGTGTAGCAGGCACAAAACCGCGGACCCGACCCGGCGAAGAGTGGGTATGTCGCACGTGCGTTTTTTAAATCCATGACAACCCAATATTGCTAGGTATTGCTCGGTATTGCTAGGTATTTATCGATTTTGTTCGGCAATAACGAGCAATACTGAGCAAATACTGAGTAATACCTAGCAATACGCGAACATAGCATTCCCGGGTTCCGGTCCGGGTCAAGTCGTCGGACCGCGCGGTAAAGAGTAAGAGCACGTGGCGCGATCTCAGTGGTGACCGAACGTAGAGGTACGTCCGGTCACCGGACCTAATAATTGTTCCAATAAATGACCTGACCCGCCAATTTGATGTGAACCCAACCCAAAGATTTTACATTCGGGTTGACCCATTTAATAAATGAATTGCTTTTTGTTGACCACTGAACCCCATTTGACATGTTTAATTTTTTTTCTTAAATCACTTATTGATATGATTTTTTTTATCACTTTACCTATACTCGATAATTGAAAATTTATAATTTTTTTAATTAAGACAGGTTATCGGGTTGATTTAGGGTTGGGTCAACCGATTGGCAACAGAATGGGTTCAAGTTCCTTTTTGGCCCCTTTATTACATGGGCCATATTTCAGCTGAAGGGATTCGAGTTGGACCCGAACTCGACCCATTGAACTTTATTGAACTTATAGGCTAAAGGCAAAGTGTTAACATCAAAAAATTAAAACTGAAAATAACACTTTTTGATAGAGACAAAAAAAATCTGTAATTGCATAAATAATTATGCAATTACAGCACATGCTATGCTTCTTTTAATATCTTATCATTAACACCAAACTGCAAATTTTTTTTACTAATTAGCCCCCAAAAAAAAATTTAACATTAAACCCCATTTGACATGTTTAATTTTTTTTTTCTTAAATCACTTATTGATATGATTTTTTTATCACTTTACGTATACTCGATAATTGAAATTTTATAATTTTTTTTAATTAAGACAGGTTATCGAGTTGATTTAGGGTTGGGTCGTCCGATTGGCAACATAATGGGTTCAAGTTTTTTTTGGCCCCTTTATTACACGGGTCAAATTTCAGCTGAAGGGATTCGAGTTGGACCCGAACTCGACCCATTGAACTTATAGGCTAAAGACAAAGTGTTAACATCAAAAAATTAAAACTGAAAATAACACTTTTTGATAGAGACAAAAAAAATCTGTAATTGCATAATTATGCAATTACAGCACATGCTATGCTTCTTTTAATATCTTATCATTAACACCAAACTGCAATTTTTTTTTGCTAAATAGCCCCAAAAAAAATAAATTAACATAAAAAATGTAAGACAATTTTCATGATTGAAATTTGAAGTTGAAAATAATTATCATAAATAATTTATTGAAATATAATAATTGTGGACTTTTTTTAAAAGGTACTGAAAATTCATCAAAAATATATAATTTCAGTAAATTCAACGCCTACAAATCTTTCAAAAATAATTTAAAATTTTGAAGGGTAATTTTTGTTTAGGCTTATCATTTATTACTTATGAAAAGGTGAAAAAGAATCACATAGATTCAAGCATGTCACATATATAAGTAACTAATTATTAATGTATATTTCTAACTACTTCAGTATGTTGACTTTTTTTTTGGGACATTTAGGCCGTTAAGATAAACTCGCACACACAAGGCATACACAAAGACTCGAACTCAAAACTTCTTAGTTGAAAGCCTAAGCAATCAACCAACAAGTCAAGGCGAGCTGTGTCCATCATGTTGCCTTGATTTCACTCGCTTGTCAAATATATTATCCTTATTTAGAATAATAATATTATTTTCCTCGTACGATAGATGAACTTCTTTAATCAAAGTGTTCTACGCATCATCTCTTATGTTTTAAAGCCTTTGTTTTGATAATTTTATCAAAGTCGTGACATTTATGATATCTTGATTCTTTCTGTGCAACACCTATGATAATTTATTTGTGTCTCCTATATAATTTTCATTATATGCAAATTAAAAATAAATTCAAAGCATTATGTATAACTTCAAGTATGACATATACTTCACATTTTTTTCTCAATACTTGATTCTTATTGTATTTTTCATTTAAGAATCTCGATAACAAATTCAAAAAGAATAATTAGATTAATAAGTGAGTCATACTATGAACCTAGGGGCGGAACCCTTTGGAGGCTGGAGGGGCAATTGCTCCCCCTGAAAATATTTTTTTTTATTCATTACACTATTATTTAGGTAATTTGTCCCCCTACAATCTATTTTTTAGTCTTTATTACAAGGGTTTTTAGGGAATTGCCCCCCCTCCCCTAAAAATATTAAAATACTATGGTATTTAGGCAATTGCCCCTAATATAATTAAATACATTGTGTAGATGTGTTATTGTTAGAAAATGATGAACCAAATATAAACAGAAATCATAAATCAAAAATTTTTCCGGGGGCGCTGCCCCTGGAAACCCCTACAGGCATAGGCGGGGTAGGCAGGTCGATCCCGCCATGGGGCACTGCCCCCTTGGACCCTGATATATTTGCCAACAGTACTTACTTATAAATTTGCCCCCCTCTGAAAATTATGGCTGATTCTTTTTTTGAAAATTATCAAATTATTTTGTAATCAGTACAATTTTTAATTTCGCCTGCATTACATAAATATCTATTTCTGAAAGATTTTGGTTCTTATTTTCTTAAATATTTTTTTAAAAAATAAAATCATAAAATAAGATATTTTCTTCAGCCCCGTTTGATTTTAAAAGCTTTTTTATAAGATTTAGCAGTTTTTTAATGGATATTGTGCAGATGTTCTGATACTAATTTCTTAAAATAAAAATAAAATTTATTAGATTTATTTTAAAATTAATGTAATATAAAATTTTAATATATAACACTTATCTTAATGTAGATCCAAACATTTTTAACCTCATGAAGATATATTTCCATGGCTTTAATTATCTTAGTGCTAAATGGAGAAAAATTATGTAATGATATTTTTATCAAATTTTGGTCAAAAAAATTATAAAGCTTCTTAATTTATTTCAAAATGAATGTGAAATACATGCAAGTAATCAATGGTATACAGCCTTTTAAGGTCAACATCACCTTGTGCCCCTGATTTATGAACCTAAAGCCTGTCTTAGCAACTCAAGAGCATTCACTATCGTGAAAAAAAGGAAATTTTATTAGGTGCGGAGTGCGGATGGGATGAGAACCGTCCGCACAGATATAGAGTACCAAGCGGTACCG